ATATCCAAAGACGGATATGCAATGTGATTGGTCCTGATCTAGTGTCTTGTCTACAGTCATTTTCTCACAGGCATGTCATCGCTTCCCTCTGTATTTTCTATAAATACTTTCACGGTAACTGCTCCGATGAGCTACTTTTACTGATTCCCAAACTACATGAATTTAAGCATGCTACTAGGTTAGCATCTCAGTCCCACCCTTTCACTGTCAAAACTGTTAAATGTAGTTGTCTCTTCTACTCCAATAGCTTCATGTCTCGCACTTCCCGTGTGTGGGTCACCCTTTCTCTTACTTGCTTCCCTGATAACTATAATTTCCAATTATTCAAATGCAATGTCAATCAACATCTCCAGATGTCTTGATCTATTCCTGGTCCTTCTCTTCATCCTTTCCTCTATCGTGCCTCTTTACTTTTGCTCCCACTCTCTGTAACCCCTTGCATGCTAGTGGCACTCCCGCCTTGCTTGGGATGAAATGCTTATAAAAAAATAAAATAAATAAAAAAAAAAAAATGACTTAAATTGTTATCATTGTAAGATTTTAAAATAATTTCACTTAATGTAAAAATTGAATATTTAATATTATTCTGCTATTGAAAAAGAACATTAACAAGAATAACATTTTTAATAATAATATTGTTAAAATATTTCCTATTTATTGTAAAATGTATTTAAACTATTGATTTGCTTTGGGTGAATGATTAAAAATTAAACCTATGTATATAATTATATCCACAAATGATAAAGAGGATTCTATAGATCATGCTGTGTCACATATCCACAGAGATTTCTTGCATTCATTCTATAGGCCTTAATTGTATTCCAATTTCTTGATTTGTGCATCACATCTGGATGCCTATAAATTTCAGTCAAAATTTATTATATATAAGTTTGCTTACTCTAGGGCAGTGTGTTTACTTTTTACCCAACAGTTGTAAAAATGGATCAAGACTAATTCCTTTTTAAGATTTCTTAAAAAGGAATTAGTCTTGGAGACCTGATTACTGTTAAATGAGTTTGTGACACCTGAGGGGATGTTTCCCCAGAATACTATAATCTTGTCTTGTTCATGTCTAGGGTTAACTAATCTTCCCCACTCATCCTCATAAACTGTGCTTCTTACCTCTGTAACCCTCTACCTTGAATGGCTCTTAGGCCTTGTACAGTGTGAAAATTATTGTAAAAAAATAAATAAATAAACCATAATTTTGGTGAGGGGAAACTCACTAAAATATATTGGAAAATTTCCATATTATCTGAAAATATGAATGTTAAGCCAAATGGTCATGATATATTTTAAAAGATTGAGGTGTCAATTTAAACTGACACCAAAGGATTATTGGTAAACAAATTTATGTATATCTAATAAACTGTTAATATCATTTTTCAAATTGTTAGGATATTTTCCAGCCATGCAAATATAATTCAGTAGTAAATCAAAAAAATGAAGGAATTGCATTTGGTTATTATGTCAGTCATGATTTTTATATATCCAAAAAGCTGTTTACAGAAATCTTTTAAAATGATCATTTAAATTGTTCTATTAGTCTCTTATTCTAAAGCAGATAAGGTACTCTTTAAAGTTAGCATGAAATATGTTTAAATAAAATAAGATTGAGGTAAATTTTTTTAAAGGCAATGTTAATATTATCTGTTTCCTTATAAGGAAACATTCAGTATTCAATAGCTAAACAGTCAGTGCTACTTTCAGTTGAAATTTTTTTAAATCTTTCTATCAAAACAATTTTTCAGGAAAAATAAGTTTTTCAAGTCCAGTAGCTGTTATTGCTCTTTCCCATATTGATGGGAGTTTCCTTCCTAACTTTTTGTTTGAAGTAGTATGGAATGTCAACATCTTGACTATGTCATTATTTTCTCTTCAAGTTGCATCCATTTTCATTGTTGCTGCTGTTGAAAGTCCTCAAGTGATGATGTTTCTGTTATTTGGTCCAGTTTTTTGTGATTCTGTGGTGTCAATTCTCAAGTTTTAAAGAAGGGCAATCCTTACTGAAACATACATGCTTCATTTGCTTGAAGCCATTTTTAACCATTGATCTGAGACTGCTGTTGTATACAACTGACAGTTTAGATGTTTTTTAACAACTTTGGTATCTTAAATTATATCCATATTAAAGTCCCAAGTTTTTAGGTTAATGTTTTGGTTTTGTAGCATCTTGCGGTGTTGAGCGAAACTACTCCTAGCACAACCTATTCTATGCTCAATCTCCTTGTGTCCTATACCAGCAGAGATTTGTAGATGTCAAGCTTAACTCTAGTTTGACCTTTGAGTGTCAGATTTTAAAAAAATATTTTTATCGTTTCATTGTCGTTGTTCTTGCTGTTGTTTTATTAATTCCAACATTAAACATTATCTGCTTTCAAGTCCTCTATTTTTAATTGTTTGACTTGAAAATTTGCTTCCAATGTATATTTCAGATGTTTTAATGTTTTGTTGTTTCCTGTGTAAGTCTTTTTTTTCTTTCTTTTTTCTCTGATGTACTGATTTCACAAGTTGAAAAAAAAAAGAAAAAAAAAAATCTTTGTCCACCATTATTATAATACATAGTGAATCATTCTTGTTGCCAACTGCTGTGATGTGGGATCTGGCAAGACACAACACTTAACTCAACAGAGTCAGTCATGATAGTAGTATTCAGTATTCAGCTAGACAAAGTCACTAAAATAGTACTATCTTCTCTTTGTAGACAATTTCACAGAACTACTTATCATGAATGGATCAGTCCATTCATGATAGTAGGGCTGTGGAGTCAGAGTTGAAAGCAAATAAGGAGTCACTGGGGTTGGAGTCAGTCTGTTAAACTATTCCAACTCCAGCTGAATTTATACTTTATGTAAAAATTCTAACATTATAGAATTTTTATTTTTGTTATTTCTTCTACTGTATATTTACTATTTCCTTTAAAGAAATTCATCTCAACTTCTTTTTTAAAGTTATTTTTTGCAGTTATTTTGTATTTGCAAAATTATCAGGTCATCCCATAAGTTCTGTCCGAATTTTAACTTTTTTTAAAATGAACAAAATTTAAGAGTATTTTTTGTCTAATGGAGCTGAACATTACTTTTATGTTTAGATGCATTTAAACTGATCAAATTTTATTTCAGAGAACAATAAAATTAAATTTTGTTTGATTAAAACCCTGCTAACATGGAAGTATCCAAGAATCATTTGAGGCACATAATGTTTTATGAGTTCAAGAAAGGAAACTCAGCAGCCGAAGTGTCTAGAAACATTCACTCAGCTTATGAAGAGGAATGTGTGAATGAAAGAACTTGCAGAAGATGGATTGCAAAATTCAGAGGTGGAGATTTCATCCTTAAAGATGAAGATTGAACCGGACATCCAGTTGAGTTTGATGAAAAGCTTCTTGAAGCAGCCCTTGAAGAAAATCCTGCTTTATCAGTTGAGGAATTGGCAGTGGTTCTCAGTTCAAACCATACAACTGTTCATCGTCATGTTCAACAACTTGGAAAAGTTCCTAAACTTGGAAAATGGGTGCCTCATGAATTGCCTGAAAACAACCTCAAATCCCAAGTTGACATCTGCTCTTCTCTCCATTCTCGCCAACTTGTTTCACCTTTTTTGGATAGACTTGTGACTGGCGACAAAAAATGGATCTTTTATCGAAATGTTAAGCATGGCTTGGTAAAGGGGAAGGACCCCAGCCACGGCCGAGAAGGGAACTTCATTGGCAAAAGGTTCTTCTTTCAATCTGTTGGGATCACCAAGGAATAATCCACTTTGAATTCTTACCACCTAATGCAACAATTAATGCTCAAATATATTGTCAGCAATTAGAGCATTTGAACCAAGCTTTGAGGAAAAAAAGACCTGCTCTAGTGAATCGAAAAGGACAATGCGCGACCCCGCACAGCAAGAATCACGTCACAAAAGATCAAAGAACTTGGTTGGGAGAAAATTCCTCATCCACTTTATTCTCCCGATCTTGTTCCTTCAGACTACTATTTGTTTCGTAGCTTACAGAATCATTTGGAAGAAACAGCTTTTGTAACACAGGAAGAGGTTAAAACTGACATTTGTGAGTTCTTCGAATCAAAGCCGAAAGAATTTTACAGTAATGGAATTAGTAAGCTTGTTAATAAATGGAAGGAAGTCATAGATAATCAGGGAAAATACATTGTTGATTGAATCTGTAATTAAATGTAACATTTGGTCACTTGTTTTCTTTATTCAAAATTCGGACAGAACTTATGGGATGACCTGATATATATATATATATATATATATAAAAAAAATCTTACATTATAGAATTTTTATTTTTATGTCATTTACATCCTGTAAAAGATTATATTTCAACTTCTTTTATATTTTTTATTTTTGTTTGTACTTATTTCTTATTTGCAAAGATATATATATATATATATATATATATATATATAAAGACTTGCATTATTACATTTTTATTTTTATTTCTTCTATATCCTTTCAAAGATTTTGTATCTAATTCTGTTAGAAAATATTGAAGAATGAATAGGTATGATATAAAAGCCACAATATGCTTTGATATAAACCAGTTATAATGATATAGGCCTACTCAAGTTAGGAGTGTATGCATAGGCTTTATGAGATCTGTAGACCATAATCACTTAATTGCATAAAGAGGGATCACAGGTGCCAAAAATAGAGGAGTTGGAGGTTTTATGTTCCGACTCACAGCCCTGCATGATAATAAGGAGGATAACTGGCTCTTACTACAACATTAATGTTCTGACTCTTTTCCGCATGAATCTGTCCAGTAAAAAAACTCATATTGACTTGGAAAGCTAGCTTTAAAAAATGATGCTTGTCTTGTACAGAAACTCTTTGTCCATCTACAAAATGGACTTTCACTGCTCTTTGTGTTTGGTTTTGAAATTTGTTTTGGTTTTACCTCGTACTGTGACCTTCCATTACCAAATATTGAAAGTATCTTGAAATTATTTAAATTTGGCTTTTAATTTATCTTGTTTTCTCTTTGACAGATGAACGGAACTTCAAGTGTGCATGGCCAGACTGTGGCAAGGCATTCCGGCACTCGGACAACCTTAAAGTGCATTATTTACAGCACACAAATGAGAAGCCTGTTAAATGTAACCTCTGCGATTTCACATGCCGCCAGAAGAGTTCACTCCACTGGCATAAGCGGAAAAGGCACACTGAGACTCAGCCTCCAGTCGAACTGATCGAAGTGAAAAAAGAGGTTGTGTTGCCACCACTACTGCCAGCAGCAGCCGCCACAGCAGCAGCAACAACACCACCACCACCACCAACACCTCCAACCACAGTTGCCAACTTAGAGGCAGCACTTGCAGAAAAACCAGAAGTCACAAAAAATAAAATCATTGATGATCTGCAAAATAAACTTCAAGCCAGTATTGACCTCTATGAGTTCCAATCTGATGATGACAGCATGTCCAATGTCCTGGACTTGTTTTATAAGAGGTCAGACCGAGGAAGTAACAAATCTACTGGACCCAATAGTGTAGATACTTCCTCAAATGATACGTCTCTACCCGAAACAGCTTTATCAGCTTCTAGATGCTCCCCCCATACACCCATGACGGAGACTTCTCTTGATGAGAAGCCAATACTTCTCCCTGTAGAACCTAATTCCAAAAAGCTGACAAAAGCTGCAACCTCAAAACCGCTGAAATCCTTCTCTGCTGCAATTTCTCCTACCAGTATGACGTCAATACTAGCTGATGATTGTTCACCTGTTAGTGATGACACCTCTACTGCTGCCGTTGATGACGTACCTGCTGACAATTCTTCAACTGCTGTGAAAAAAAGACAATCAAAGAAATTAAAGAGCTCTGAGGCAGGTTCAAAATTAACGACCCTGAAAAAGAAAAGAAAAGTTGTTGTGAAGTCAGAATCTTTGGCTTTGTCAACTTCTTTTGATATCAAGTTAGAACCAAGTTCTCTGGGTGTTGCTGATACTGGAGACAAAACAGCAAAAGCCATTGAGACTGATTCTGGAGAAATGTCAACTAGTACAGCACTTGAAGATCCTCAAAACAAAGAACTTTTGGTAAATGTGGGTGAAGATAGTGATATCCTTAACCCTATCAACCATGATGATACAAAAGGTGAGGATGTCTCATGTTTACCATCATCTCTTCCTCCCTCGCCTTCTCCAGCCACAGCCCCAAATGTTGCATCATCCTTATCACCCGTATCTACATTATCTCCAGAAACCAAACCAGAGATGTCTCTGCCAACTTCTACCACTGTACCCACTCTTGTATCTCCTTTATCGCCAGTTTCAGAACAACACCAAACACAATCATCGTCACCATCACCACCACCATCCCCAGAAACTGATTCAGAATCAAAACTACGCAAGCAACAACAACAACAACAATCATCACTACCATCACCCACACAACCACTCTCACCATCACAGCCATCTTCACAACCATTATCACAAAAAGAGGAGCAGGAGGAAGAAGAGGAGGTGGAGGAAGAAGAGGAGGAGGAGGAGGAGGAAGAAAAAGAAATAGAACAACAAGAGTTAGAAAAGCAGAAGTTTCTCAAAGAATTACCTGAAAACCTTGAACCTGAACCTGAAGAATCTTTAGACAACCATTTCAGTTCATGTATAACTGAAGCTTTAAATCCTGAACCAAAAACAACCCACAAAGATTGCTTTACTACTACTACTACAACAACTACTACTACTACTACTGCTGTGTCTTCTCCTATTTTCACAACCACCACCACCACAACTACTACTGGTATGCTTGCTTCTACTATTGCCACAACTAATGTAACAACTGCTACCCCCACTCCTGCATTGGGTACACAGCTGTCAGTGACAAGACAGGAGCCATCACAGTATAATACTTCCCTCTCATTCATGGCATCATCCTCCTCCTCTTCCTCGACTGGCTCAACATCTGCATCTTCTGACTCTGCCTCCGATTCAGAAGCTGATGAGCCTTCTGAGTTGCTGCAGCCAGTGACATGTCATCCAGAATCCTCACGACCTCCAACACCTCACATAGCAACGGTACCCTCATCAACACCATCTTCATCACCTATACCAATGTCTACACCAACCCCACCCCAACATTTTCAGCCCCCACAACCCTCAGTTCCTCCACCTCCACTGCCCCCTGTTCTTCAGCAGCCAGGAATTATGGAATCTGAGGAAGAGGAGGAGGAAGATGATGATGACAGTGATTCCTGCGAACCTGGGCAGCTTGAAATGGATTTGGGACGGCCAGAGTCAGATAGTGGCTCAGAGCGTGACACCTCAGAAGATGAAGCAGCAGAAGCTGACAACTCAATCCGTGTTAACTGTAAGGACGGAGCCAAGGCAAAAGAGAATGTTGACATTCAAGAATGTGACATTGAGCAGAACTTGACACCTTGCAGTGTATCCTTAGACCATCTTGTCATGGGTACAAAAGCACCAGCTGTCACATTGTCCAAAAACAGCTCTTTGGATGCATTGCAAGAACACAAAAATGGAATTGTACAATCATTTAAAGTTCACAGTTTCTCTCCACAGACCAATCAAGTAGATTTAAGAATGGACTATGAAAACAGGCCCAAAACTGCTAATATCCAGGATGTATTAGACTCTAAGAACACACTTTTAGAAAACAATTGTCAAGTACCCCAAACCCATGAGGATAGTCACATGGCAAATAATCCTACAATAGACTCACTTCCAGACCCACTAAACGTCCCAAGCTGTTCTGAACAACAACACCACCACCACCATTTTTATGAAGAACAAAAACATTATTCAAATTATCAATACCCATTGCAGCATATGATTCCACCACCAACAGCTTCTTCTATGGACTTGGTAATTCCTGGCTTTAAGCAGCCAGACAGGTTGAAACAACTACAACACGATTACTTGAAGAGAAACCAGAGACGACATGAAATGATGCAGGAGCAACATCAGCAGCAGCTCTATCATCATCAACAACGACAGTTAGACTATGGTCAGCCACATCATCAGGACTACATCCGGGAACAGAGTTTAGCTTATGAGTATCAACAGCGAGAGGTTTACAGGCAAGAAATTGTCAGTAGGCATCAGAGGAATCCAAGCCTCAGCCAAGATTTAGATCTTGTGAGACAGCATCGAGATCAGGAATTAATGAATAATCATGACTTCTCTCAAAATCCCCTAAGACAGGAGGAAATTGCCCGTGAACGTCAGCGGCAAGAGGAAATTGCTCGGGAGCGCCAAAGACAGGAAGAAATTGCCCGCGAGTGTCAGAGACAAGAAGAGCTTGCTCGTGAGCGCCAGAGACAGGAGAGATTAAGCAGGAGGCCAGAGGGGAGATTGCCAGGAGCTAGCGCAGGAGGAGATTGCCAGGAGCGCCCAGCGGCAGGAGGAGATTGCGGGAGCGCCAGCGGCAGGAGGAGATTGCCAGGGAGCGCCAGCGGCAGGAGGAGATTGCCAGGGAGCGCCAGCGGCAGGAGGAGATTGCCAGGGAGCGCCAGCGGCAGGAGGAGATTACAGGGAGCGCCAGCGCAGGAGGAGATTGCCCGTGAGCGCCAGCGGCAGGAGGAGATTGCCCGAGCGGTGAGAGGCAGGAGGAGATTGTCTGTGAGCGCAGAGGTAGGAGAGATTGCCCAGGAGCGGCAGAGACAAAGAGGAGATTGCCCGGGAGTGTCAGCGGCAGGAGGAGATTGCACGTGAGCGTGAGCGTGAGCGGCAGGAAGAACTTGCTCGAGAGCGTGAGCGTCAGCGGCAGGAAGAACTTGCTCATGAACGTGAGCGCCAAGAGGCAGGAGGAACTTGCCCGGGAACGCAACGACAAGAGGAGCTTGCCCGAACATGAGCGCCACATAGCTTGCCCGTGAACGCTCAGGCGCCAGGAGGAGCTTGCCCGTGAACGTCAGCGTCAGGAAGAGCTTGCCCGTGAACGTCAGCGTCAGGAGGAGCTTGCCCGTGAACGTCAGCGGCAGGAGGAGCTTGCCCGTGAACGTCAGCGGCAGGAGGAGCTTGCCCGTGAACGTCAGCGGCAGGAAGAGCTTGCCCGTGAACGTCAGCGACAGGAGGAGCTTGTCCACGAGCATGAGCGACAGCGTCAGGAGGAACTTGTCCGTGAGCAACAAAGGCAAGAGGAACTTGCTCGAGAACATCAGAGACAAGAAGAGATTGTCAGGGAACAACAAAGGCAGGAGTGTCTTAAACAAGAAGAGATTGCACAGAAACAAGAGAAGTTGGCTCATGAATGTCAAAGGCAGAAAGAAATCATCTGTGAAGAAATGGTGTTAAGACATCAAAGACAAGAAAAACTGGCACAAGAGCATCAAAAACCTGAAGATATAATAAGTTGGGATTGCCAACAGCAAGAAGACAACCCTTGTAAACAGAACCAGCATAAAATCTTGAGTCATGAGCCAGAGTTAGAGCGACAAAGGAGAGAAGAGATGTCTCAGGATATAGTATTAGAACACAGAAGATCTGATGAGCATCATCCTAATAGCACTTTGAGTAGAGAACAAGATCAAGACCATAATGCTGAAATGTCTCTAAAAAGACATCAATCCAAGGAACTTGGTCAAGAATGCTCAAGGGAAGAAAGACTAAGACCACATGATCAGAATATTTCTTCTAATCATAAGGATCAAGACGTAATGCCCAGTGGTCAGTGTCAGGAACTGACTCATGATCAGCATCACCCTGAGGCTATAGGACACGAACAGATTGCTTTGGGTACTGAACATGGCCGACAGGATATTTCTGCTGAGCACACACAGATGTCTGCAGCTGCTGTCTGTGGACGGCCAGATTCTCATGGTCAGGAGTTGCAGGAAATGTTACACGATCAGCATGGGATGCTTCATGGGCGAGAACGCAAGATGGTCCGGGAACATGAGACAGAAATGGTTCATGTGCGAGAACGTGAAATGGTCAGAGTGCGAGAAATGGTGCGCGTACGTGAATATGAAATGGTTCGTGAGAGAGACCATGAGGTCAGGCGCAAACATGACCTTGACCCTGACATCAGCAAGCAGCAACAGCAGCAGCATGGCCTGCTACAGAAACACGATCTCCAACCAGAGTTAAAACTTTCACATAATGCCAAGCTTGTTGCTAATGACCACCCTGCGTTGTCCCTTGATCACCACACAGATTTACCTCCACCAGATACAGAATCACTTGCCGGGCCACAAGTGTCTGAGTCAAACATTCTCAGACGACCAGAGCCAAGCACAGATATGAGACTCTCTCCTACTCAGGTTCCTTCAGCATCCGATCTTTCCCTTGATCACACAACCAGGGCTGGGGATATGAATAAAATGAAGACTCCTCTTTCAGACCAATCTGCCATATTGAACCACATGGTTCGACATCAGACTCTGGAACATGAGCCTTCAGTTAGTAGATATAATTCAGAAATGTCACAGGTCAGCTTTAATCCAATCCAGTCCAGGCGTCACATAGATGCTAATATATCCAGTGAGACATCCTGCTCTCAAGCTGAGCCCTCAAGGAAAGACAGTATGAGCCTAACAACCCCAGAAATGTCTAGTATACGAGCCACAAACACACTCCCTGAAAAAACCCTTCCTTCTTCCCACCTCCCTATTCATCAGCTGAGTTTTGTACCACCCCATCCAAGTACCCCTGTGGATGACCGTGACTATCTGGGACAGTACTTGCAAGATTTTGATAAGGATACCACTGAAAGCACACCTCGGGAGCCTGCTGTTCGATCAGACGTGCCACCAATCACCCCAAGTTTTACTGAACCAGCAACAAGCTTAGACAACCGTGCTATGATCAACATTGGTAACGATAGCCTTAGGCCTTGTTTTTCTGACATGGCTTTCAAACGTCTAGATTTAAGCCACCCACCAGAACGCTCAAGTCTGGACAGCTACCACCATCAGGAAACGGCCTTGCAGAGGCTGTCTAACTTTGCTACTGAGGGCTTATCACAAGTGGACAAATCTTACGAGACTTCAAGACCCAGTAGTTTTATGCGTCAAAATGACGCTTTCCTATCTTGTCCAGCACCAACAAGCAGTTTTGTGCGGTTCTCTGAGAGTGAAGCTTCTCTCCAGAGACAGAGGACATCATCGCTCTTTCAACATACCAGCTCACGACATCACAAGCTTCCAGATCCTCCTTTGCCTCGTACTAGCAACCCTACTATTTTACGGGGACACTCAGGCATCACAAGTGAGGATTTTTTGTCACATGCTGGAGCTGTTGCTCAAAGCGTGCCCCGTAGTTCATTTCATAATTCTTGGACTGGGACAGAGCTACAGTCGCATTGGAACCAACCTACTTACCTCCAAACCCCTGTGGATCGTCAGCCAAACCCTGGCACCTCCAGTCTGCTAGGGAAGGACTCTTATCTCACCAGTCGTGACTTGATGTTTGACTCCTCATGTCGAAGCATGACTGACCGTCGTATGTTTACTGGTCTGTCATCTCCCCAGCAACAGCGGGATCTCACATGCGAGGCCTTCCCATTGGAACGCTTTGACTTGGGTGGTTATTTCAACAGTCATGCCTACTCAGGAGCATCCCCACTGGAGTACGCTCGTCCAAACTGTGGCACTACACAGAAGAACTATGATGACCGTTACCGACAGCCAGTTACTATGGCTGATCTCAGGGCTTTGCCGCAGTCAAATTCATCTGACATGTTTGGCAATATGAATGTAAACTCTTCATTCAGTTTAGAGAAGTATATGTACTCACATGAGACTGTTTATCATTCACAGCACTTGCCGGAAAATACCAACAGCGCATTCTTAAGTCACAGTAACCCTAATCACCAGGCAAGTTACTTTAACAGAGACTATTCGAGGCGGGCCCTGTACTCTCAGGCTAACCCTTATACGCTTATGGATGACAGACAGTATCCCACACCAACCAAACTAACACAACACCCTACCCCTATGGCTTCACAAGAAAGAGATTATATTCAACGATTGGGAAACTCTGAGGAGTCGTACCGTTATAATGTCTTTTATAATGTTATGAACCGATATTTTGAGTGAAAGATTGTGTAAAAAAAAAAAAAAAAATTGGAAAAAAAATGTTTTCAAGGAGTGAAAGAAAGAACAAAATGAAAGATTGAGTTTTTTTAGTTTTTTATGTTTTTTTTTTTAATGAAATTCTTTTTATTCATGGTCAAATCTCTCTTGTGTAAACAGAAGAAAAAGAAGTAGAAAAAAAGAATACCTCATTTACATATTTTACCCAAACCTTACTTACTTTCCCATTCCCTTTTCCCATCTTCACCAGCATCTCATTTGTTTTGTCTTACCTCTTTAAAAAAAAAAAATCTGACCAATTCATTAATGTGGCACACTCAGTTTTTAAATATTATAATATATATATATATATATATATATATATATATATATATATATATATATATATATATATGTAATACATCTTTCTATAATATTATTATAACTGATATAGATTAATAAATGTATTTTACATACATATACATTGATATTAAAATCCAGGAAAGAAAGGTAGAAAAGAATTAGTCAAATATATCTGTGTTTAAAAATAAAATAGTCCTTTAAAAAAAAAAAAAAAAAAAAACACCTTTTTCTAATTCCATGTGCTTCAAAAGCTTCTTTTCCTTAAGTATTTTCTTCAAATAGAAGTTTTGTGAAAAACAAAAGATATATATATATTAAAAATAGATAGTGAAGCTAGACACATGCTAAAAGGTGTACACTTCAAGAGTCAGAACTCACTTAGTCAAGTATCATATCTAGTGACCAAAGCATACTGTTATAGTAATATATAAAAAGATCTCATAACTTTTAAATCAACCCAAAGGCTACAATCTACTTAACCAAATTCTGATCCCCACTTTCAACAGTATTGGATAGACAGTCCCAAAATCAGCAGGAATAGTCTATACAATTTAGTTTATCATTGT